AGATTAATTAAAATCTTTACTAAATAAATAAAATGTGAAAAAAGGCATGTAAAGCAACTGTAGATACCAGAGACAGAGTGGGAGAAGGGTGGGAAATGGCAGAGGGTGAGAGGTAGGGAATCAAGGGAGGGGGAAAGTAAAATATATAAGAAACAAGAAATGGAAAATTATTTGTTGACAGTAACACATATGGTAATATCCTTGATTGAGCCAATATACAGTGTATTCTGTATGTAAAATTCCATTTTGTATATTGTGTAATTGATATACAGTGAATGAATGTAAATAAAATAAAAAAAAGAAAGAAAGAAAGAAAAAGGGCCTATGTGTGGGTGGAGAAGAGACTGTTCTGGAATCTTGACTATGCTGGTAGATAATTGACCAGAACTCATGCACTTAACCTCTGTGCATTTCACTGGAAGTAATTTTACCTTAATAGTAATAACAAAAAAGTACTGATGTTTTGGGTAGGACTTGGCAAGACAGCCAGGTAGGAGGTATCCACACACAAAGTGGTGATTGGGAGATGGAGGAAGCAGCCAGTCTCGGGATCTTTTGGAGGGTGATCAGACTGGCTAGCCCAGTAGGCCAGAGTCTTGAGTGGGCCTTGGACAACTGAGTGCTTGAAACCTTTTTATTTATCTTGCTTTCACCCCTTGTCTTTTTGAAATAATGTGAAGCTAATTAAAACAAAGAATGCATGCTTCATCAGGTTGAGAAGACATAACTACAAATCGAACTTGAGATAGAAGAAGCATAATGCTAGTTTAGGCACTGATCTTAGAAAATGAAAATCAGAAATATCTTTCTAAGACCCTTGTCTGGGCTCCAGTGCCAGGCTGCTGAAGGATAGGTTGCAGGGTGGGGGTGGTGGGCTGTGTGAGACTTTTAACATCAGATAAAAAGCAGCTCACACTGTACACACTTAGCCCATCCTGAAGCAAGTTGATTTTAGCTGAGGAAATACATATGTCTTTTAGAGACTCGCTGGGTTTATGAAACTGAAAATATACATTTTTACAGAATTTGAAGCAGCACATTGCATCACAGAGTTCTGCTACATGAAGTGGTCTTCAAAGAAGGGAGATTATGTTAGGAACTGCTAGGTTTCTTCTGTTTGAGGTGGAATTTCTTCGGTAGAAATGTAAATAACATTGACTGTAATTTGTGATAAAATATGAGCTCGAGGGTATTATCTATACATTTATGGGATTATTATCATTTAAAATGATTATAAATTTACATACTGACATGGAGATCGAGTTTAGTTTGGATATATCAAGTATGAATGAAGGCAGCTATTGATACAGTGCAAGTACTACAAAAATATATGCAGAAAACACATCTCAAATATTTTATTTTATTTTTATTATTTTTTAGGTTTTTGCCATAGGGTGAATGTGCATGCTGGAGAGAGACAGAGAGAAGGAAAGTGAGATATAATCCCCACCTCCACCCCCTAATGGGGATGGCCACACTGCAATCCCTTCTCTTCTATTCTCTCCTCTTGGGATTTTGGGCATGCATGTATATGTGCCCAGGGTGGGGTCTGGGACTTGAACTGTGGTTGTCATGTGAAGGGTCCAATACCTTAACCACATACCACCTGCTGGCCCTCACATGTCAATTATTGATTGATCATTACCAGTATTGACATTTCAGTTAGTGTTGCCAAGAGGAGAAACTTGTCAGAATTAAGACATTCTTTAATTAAGAGCAACTACCAATCGGCAATGAAATAAGAGAATGTATATATGGAGAAGATATTAAAAATATATGTCAGTAAGACAGTTGATCAAATTAAGCCTGGGGTCAGTTCTGGAAATTTGCTTTGGCTTCACCAACTGGATGGCCCAGTCGAAATGCGTGCTTACACGAACAAGAGAAGATTAATAGCAGACTCCTACTGGAATTTCCCATCAGATCTAATAGCAAAGGGCTGTCTCATGCAGTCGAAGGAAGGGAAGTAATTGTCATAAACCATTTGTAATGCTCCAGGATGGCTGGATTTGGGTTGATTCTGCAAATGTAATTTATTTCAAGCCTATGAGTAAAAATGATCATGGTTGAATACACCTTAATGACAGGGTCCTACTCCTTGTATAGAGAATGAAGAGAATGAAATATGAAGAGTACTATGAACAGTTGGACGTTCTGAGGGATTTTCTTGGTCCTGATGGTTTAGGTTCAGCTAAAGCAGAGCAAATGGTTTAAGGCAGGGAAGGGCTCGTTGTGATGATTCCAGATACGGTGATGCTCAGGAAGATGGCCCGGGGACACTATGACAGGTTGATGTCAGGTGTTCTCTCGGGACGAGATTGGTGGTGCAAATTAGGAATGGGCTGGTGGTGAAGGCTGGGCCACCCAGAGTCCCGGGGCTTCCTCCGGCTTAATAATGAGGGGCAGTGAGGGGCCATGCGAGGTGTCCAGATGAAGGATCTGAAGATGCTCATCCTGCCACGTACCAGGTGACTCTGCTTGGGCAGGTGCCTCATCTCCCTGAGCTTGGGCTTTCACACCTGTTATATGAGGTCATGCCTGCCTGTCCATAGTCGTCTCACATGGAGGGTTGTCATGGGGATTTGTGTGACAGGACTCTCAGGTCCTCAAAAACGTCCGTGAGTATCTGCTACAGTTGTTTCTTATTATTTGCTGGTAACTAACTCTCTAGCGTGAGCGGGGGCTGGAGCCACATGATGGTTTGTGCTCAAGCCTGGAGATATTTTGGGAAATAATCAATACGAGATGCATTGGGTTGAAGCCATGATAAGAGTCATAAATCTTGAGAGTCTGCTGCTTGATAAAATTAATAGCGCTTGAGAGAAACGTAAAAACCTGTGGGAAGGGAAAATATAGAATGTGTCTGGGGAGAGAGCATGAGCCAATGTAGAAAGCGACAGCCGTCCAGGGAAGGCTGGTTATTGTCCTGCTGAGGCAGTGCACACTGCTGCACATTCATACACACATGCACACACAGAGAGGCACACCCATGCACATGCACACACACATGTACACTCCCACAGAGAGGCACACACAGGCACACAATGCACATTCACACATACATGTACACACAGAGACACACACATGCACATCCACACATGTAAACACAGAGGCATATGCATGCACATTCATATACACATGTACACAGAGAGGCACACACATATTCATACACACGTGAAAACACAGAAGCACACACATGCGCATTCTCATAAATGCACACACAGAGGCACATGCATGAACACTCATAAACATATACACACAGCATCATACACACATGTACACACAGAGGCACAAACATGCATATTTGCACACACATGTACACACAGAGGAATATGCATGCACACCCACAGACACAAGCAAACACAGAGGCACATACATGCACATTCACACACATGTGCACATAGGCTTACATATATACATGCACAAAGGCATAGGCATACACATGTGTACATGTGCAAACACACACCACACACATGCACATATACACATATATGTGCACACATGCACACATGTTCACAAATGCATTCATGGACAAGCAGACATGTTCAGTCATGTGTGCACATATGTATGCACACATACACTGGCAACAAACACCAGTATTGTTGGTTGGGTCTCAGAAAAGACTAGCAAATGAGGACACCTAGAATTAATTTCAACAATGGACAGTTGCAGTGGCCCATCGGGGCTCACCACCTTCTAAGGAAGTGCTGTTGGCCTCTGAAATGTTAAATGACACAGGGACAGTGTCTTTGCCTCTATAATTTCTCAGTGGTAGAGAAGAGTGGGGTCATATAGCTGTGGAATGTGAGAAGAGGGCAAGGAGTGGGCCTGCGCAAGAGGTCCCAGGCCCTCATGGTTATGAATTATCAAAGTAGCAAGATAGTCTATGGCTGGAAAGGAAAGTGAGGAATGTTGCTTTTTCTGTGTTCAGAGTGTTCCCAGACCTTCCTGATCCTCTGTTCTTACAAGATTGTCCTCTGGGCTTGAGCCAGGTTCTCCCAACAGGTTGGAAGATTAGTTCAGAGAGTTCGAGGGTCTGTGACACTCACTGGAGGCGCTGGGTGGAACCATGGGGGTGCCGCACCTACAAAGGGAATCCAGTAGAGCCAGGAGGGACGAACCTTGCTAAAGCAAAGCAAGGCCTTGAGGGAGCATCTGTCACCAACCCTGATCTTGATGTGAATGCAGTCAACTTCCTATTGTAGAAGAGGAGTCTTATTTTATAATTTTTTGTTTTATTTTTGTTTTATTTTGGCAGAAGGCTCATGTGTTCACCAGAGAGAGAAACAGGGAGGGAGAGGGAGAAAGCACTACCAAGTGGGGTGTGGTCATCTTGCAATCCCTTCTTCTCCATTTCATCATCGCATTGAGATCTGGGTCATGTATGTGCACATGCCAGGAATGTTTTACAAGCTACCAGGACTAGGATTCAAACTCCAGTCAACTAATGGGATCTGGTTTTCTTGATCATCAGGCCACAGGACCAGCCCAAGAAGAGTCTTTGTGGTCAGAGCACAGAAGACAACATTAAAAACAAAAACAAAAATAAGACAAAAAGATCAGGATGAGCCAGTGGGTGGTGTGGTGGTTAAAACTGCTGGACTCTCCTGGCCAATTGACCAATTGTGTGATTCAAGTCCTGGACCCAGTGGTTTGAAAAACATACTGGGCACACATGCATATGTGCCCAAAATACTGAAAGGAGGGAGAAATGGAAGAGAAGAGATTGCGATTGACCAGCCCCCATGGGGGGAGGTGCTTTCTCGCCTTTCCTTTCTCTCTTTCTCTCTCCCTCTCTTTGGCAAGTGCACACATTCTCTGACAAATTAAAAAAAAAATCACTTGCGTGAATAGAGTGATGAGATTATTTCTTAATTTAAAAATTACTTATTGTGTTTTCTTTTATTATAAAAGTTACACACATGTATTATAAAAATGCGAATTTAAAAGGTCAGAAAGCCATAAGATAAACGTTGACACTGAGTCTGTCATGTTTTCAGGCAGAGAAAACAAAGAATTTTGTCAGTCGGAGCCTCGTCATAGGAGAAGTCCTCTGCATGGCGGACATGGCCACTGGAGTGAAGGTGAGAGGGGCCGGCACCACCCACAGGGATGAGCTCATATCTGCGGGGATGTCGAGGAGTGGGAACTGTAGCCTGAGACCCTGTATTCTGTTTACTGGAATAGGTGTTTGTAAAATGTGCACCTAATAACCCACGCTTCCTCTTTAACCATTACATCCAATCTTGTTTTTGTTCTTCCTTTGCTTTTCTTTTTGAATGATTTGATTACATTCTATCAGTCAATGATTTTCATCTGCCTTAACTTTATAAAAACAGTATCATAATCATTTGCGATTTACTTTCTTCACTTATTGCTAAGAATGATCCATATTGTTGCATGTCACTTTACTCATTAATTAAACAAATTTAAGACTTTTTCACTTTTATTTTAGAGGTTTTTGCCTTAGGGCAACTGCATTTGTGGCAGACAGAGAGAAAGAGAGAGACAGACAGAGACAGAGACAGTGAGAGGAAAAGTGAGAAATCGCTCCCCCCGGAGGAATGACTATACCACTATCCCTTCTCCTCCAGTCTCCTCCCAGATCTTGGGCATGCACTCACACGTGCCCGGTGTGATGTTCATGCTACCAGGTCTGAGACTTGAACTATGGTTGGCCATGTGAGAGTCCAGTGATATAACTGCTATGCCACTTGCTGGCCCCAAGACTTTTTTATTTTGAAACAATAATGCTCACAGGAAGTTAGAAAAAGTCATATGAATTTTGATCCAGTCTCCCCCAGCAATGACATCTTATAAAGCTGTATTGCAAAATAAAACTGGAAAACTGACATAGCGCAGCACTGTTCAATAGAATACAGGCCTTGTTCAGATTTCACTAGCTTTAATTAGTTTTTTACACACACTCAGTTGTGTATATGTGTGTGTGTGTGTGTGTAGTTCTGTGTGATTTGGCCCCATATATACATTCATGTAACCTCTACCACGATCATGATATAGACAGTTCTATCATTATGAAGAAACTCCACGGTGCTGCCTCCCTCTGCCTCCCCCCCTGTATTGCTAGAGGGTATGTGCACTTACCAGAGTGAGACAGGAAGACAGAGAGTGGAAGAGGAGAAAGCACCACTCATGGGGGATGGTCACACTATATTTTTTTCACTCCCATCTTTCCTTTTTTGGGGGATTTTGGGCAAGCCACCAGGTCCAGGACTTGAACCATAAGGCTGGTTATTTGGGATCCAGCTGTCTCAGCAACAGGCCAAACTGCAGAACTGGTGCTACCATTTTTTTTTCTTTTTTTTGGAGAGGTTTTTGCTTTAGGGCGTGCGTGCTCACCAGAAAGAGAGAGACAGAGAGATAGAAAGCGAGAAATCACCCCCCAGGGGGAATGGCCACGCTGCAATTCCTTCTCCTCCATTCTCCTCTCGGGACCTTGGGCATGCACGCACACGGGCCCAGCGTGAGTTTTAAGCCACCGGGTCCAGGACCCGAAATGTGGTCGACCATGTGGGAGTCCAGCGACATAGACATTACGCCAACTGCTGGTCCCGAAGTTCATTCATTTTTGACTGCTATGTAATATTCCTTCGTGTGAATTTACCATAGTATTCAAGCATCTACCTTCTGTTTATTTTTTAAGAGAGATTTTTGCTATAGGGCATGTGTACTTGCTGGAGAGACAGAAAGAGACAGAGCGACAGAAAGCCAGAAATCACTCCCCAGGGCGGATGACCACGCCACAATCCCTTCTCCTCCATTCTCCTCTCAGGATTTTGGCACACAAAAATGCGTGCCCAGTGTGAGGTCGAAGCCACTGAATCTGGGATGCAAACCGTGGTCAGCCAAGTGGGAGTCCAGCGACATAACCATTATACCATCTGGTGGTCCTTTGTCCACTTTCTCATGTTGCTTGCGGGATTTAGCTAATGTGAATGCACTGCTGTGAATACTTTTCTCCATGTCTTCAGTTGAACAGGGTAAAAGCTTCCTTTAGTTATATAACTGGGAATGGAATTGTGTTGTAGGACTAATGAATACTTAGCTTTGAAGAATAAGGTCGGCTATTTTCCAGTTACTGCATTGATTCACATTCCCACCAGCAGCATGTATCAGATCCCATGGATTCACATCCTTTCCCACAGCTGGAAGTCTTGAACTTCTCTAATTTTGCCAGTAACAAAATGGCATCTCATCATGGTCTTGCTTTGTGTGTTGCGGCTCACTGAGGATGATCAGTGCAATAGCATAGGGAAGGTCGCTGCTGCTGAAGCCTCCATGGCGCCCTAAGTCTCCTGGTAGAGGTCACTCATGTGGTCCTGCATATGCTCCTTTTCCCTCTCTGACTACCATGGGGTCTTGAGTAAGTCCCCATATCCAGACTCCTGCTGTCCCCAGAAGTGAGACATTAAACTATTGCTAGAACATGAAGATAGATCGAGTAGACCGGAAGTCAAACTGGTTGGCAATGTGTCCCAGATGGTGGTCATTTCTATTCAGTGCAGACATTTTCTGTGGGGAGGAACTGAAAACAAAGACACCTGTGAGTACCACTCTGTGGTGAGGGCCTCCATCGTCAGAGTCTTTGGGAGAGCCTGGCCACCCTGTGATTTCAGCCAGCAGGATCTCTTACCTGCTGGGGTTGGCTGAGAGAGCAGTCAGCTTAGGTGAACAAAGAGGAACCTCTCAGGAATCTAGGGGACTCTGGTCTAGACTTATGACCCCCCCTCCGCCCCCAGTTTGTGCTTTTGCCATATTCCTCCTCACCTGCCTTCTCTTCATCAAACCTCCAATGGGTTGTGACCACAGGGACATCTCTGAGGGCAGGGCCATCTTCTGGGCAGGGAGCCCTCTTCTCTGGTCTCCAAGGTCTTGCACTGAGCTTAGTGCATAGAACTGTCCGGGGAATGTGCAAATGAATGAAGTAGGGGCTGTCTATGGTTTAAAGCACATACCAAAAACATTTCAACCAATTGCAATGTACAGACCTAATTTAGATACTGGTTCAAGTGACAGGCTGTAACGAGATGTATCAGCTGGAGAAATGTGAAATTAGACATTTGACAATATTAGAGAATTACATTTTTGGTGGGATAATGGTTTTAGAGTTATGTTCTTTGTGTTTTTATTTAATTTTTTTTTGAGAGGTTTTTGCTATAGGGGATGTGTGCTCGTCAGAAAAACAGAGAGAGACAGAGAGATAGAAATGAGAAATCACCCCCCAGGGGGGATGGCCACACCACAATCCCTTCTCCATTCTCCTCTCAGGATCTTGGGCACACATGCACACATGCCAGACGTGAGTTTAAGCCATCGGGTCCAGGACTCGAACCGTAGTCGACTATGTGGGAGTTCAGCGACATAGCCATTACGCCAACTGCTGGTCCCATAGAGTTATGTTCTTAAAAAGATCCTTTACCATTTACAAATGTACAGCAATATTTGAAGATGAAATGGCATGGATATCTGGGTTCAACTTCAAGCTAACCCAGGATGTAGAAGGGAGAAGTGGATTGGAAGAGGGGAGAAAAAGCATAGTAGACCATGAGTAGGCATCTATGAATTCATTATATTCCTTTATTTTATTTGTAAATGTTCATGATACATTTTAAAAACACTTTATTCTTCTGTATTCCAGAAGGAAATTTGAATACATTTAAAAAATAGTTCTTTTAAAATGCTTCTCTGGATCTGGCTCAGGGGTATTGCGCTGCTCACCAGATCTAACATGACGACCCTGGTTTGAATTCTCAGCTTGGTCAAGGTGAAATATGGGTATCAAATGGCCTGTCACTGTGGTCTTGCTTTGTGTGTCGCGGCTCACTGAGGATGGTCAGTGGAATAGCACAGGGAGGTGTGCTGCTGCAGCCCCCTTGGTGCCCCGAGTCTCCTGGTAGAGATCACATATGGCCCTGCATATACCACGTATAACTGCATATGAATGATTGCTTGGGCATGTGTGTGAGTGCCCATGGACTGGAGGACTGGAGGAGGAAATTGTGCCATGAAGAGACTCTGCAGAGGGTGCTTGTCCTCTCTCTCTTCTTCCCTCTTGTGTGTGCACATGCTCTATCATGAGTAAAAGCAAGAAACATAAAACACTTCTCTGATCACATCATTCTCCTGCTTCCTGTTCCCACTCTGCTTTTACAAATTCCTCCCTGTCCTGGATGTCATCCGTGGCTCTTTGCACAGTCTGGCCTGGGTCACCTCTCCAGACACATTCTGTTCCACTTCCTCTCCTCCCTAGAATCTCCTGCCATATTGGCCTTCATTTTTTTCTTTTATAAGAGAGAGATTTTTGCTATCGGGCATGTGAGTTACTGGAGATAGAGATAGAGAGAGAGAGAGAGAGAGAGAGAGAGAGAGAGAGAGACAGAAAGCCAGAAATCACCCTTGAGGATGAATGGTCATGCCACAGTCCTTTCTCCTCCATTCTCTTCTTAGGATTTTGGGTATGCATGCACATGTGCCCAGCGTGAGTTTTAAACTGCTGAATCCGGGACTTGAATTGCAGTCAACTACATGGGAATCCAGCAATGTAACCATTATGCCATCTGCTGGTCCTGGCCTTCTCTTGTAGTTGTATTTTCCCCCACCTTTGGACCACTCTTCCCACCCACCCTAGGTTACTCTTTCTTCTCCTTCACCCAGTTGACACCTGCTCCTTCTGCAGGTCTCAGGTAGTCTCCTTCCCTCAGGAGAACCCCTCTGAAGTATGCGCTTGAAATCCCACCTACTCATTGTCATATGTCTTTGTGTCTTACGCTTTTCTGTCATAGCATGTACCCATTTCGGATCTATTTATTTATAAGGTTTCTTTATGTCTCTTATCACCATTAGAGGGCAGCCCCCTTGAAGACTATGGTCACTTGGTTCATAGTAGGTGTCAATACCTGAGTATTGAGCGAATGCATAGAGTAGAAATAGTGGTTCCTCAAAAGATTAAACATAGAATTACCATATGGTCCAGTCATTCTGCTCACTAGGTTTATACTGCAAGAATTGTAGTGTCCACAACATGTACTTGTGTGCCAATGTCCACTGCAGTATTATCCACAAG